CGTCGCCGTTCAACCCTCTCCTCCGACTGCCCCACCAGGTACCATCCGCTAGTACTATACTTGTCATACCCGGCAACTATTCGTTGAATTGTTGGAGCTAAAAAAGTTGTCCCTTCTTCAAGCAACGGGTTTCAATTTTGATTCATATACGAGCACTATGTTGAGCATGCATTGAAAATGGAAGAACTCCAAAGGCTTTACAAGGGCAATATCAGGGTCATGTTAAGAAGCCCACCATTTGCTCTTGAATGAGTTGCATCGCATGATCTTTGGATTTGACACTCTTTCTTTGGCATGCCCGGCTCTCACAATGGCATCAATGTGTTGCAGCGAGCACCATTGTTTGCGAGGCTGGCTAAAGGAAAAGCTCCTCCTTGCCACTATACTGTCAATGGACATGAGTACAACATGGGCTACTATCTTGTTCACGGTATCTATTTTTCGTGGGCTACCTTTGTTAACACCATCTCTAATCCCAATTGGCCAAAAAGGTCTCACTTTGCCCAAAGACAAGAAGTTGTTGGGAAAGATGTCGAGAGGGCATTTGGAGTTCTTGCGGACCTGTTTTGCAGTTGTTCGTGAACCTGCTAAACAATGAGATCCGGAGACATTGTGGGAGGTGATGACATGTTGCGTGATCATGCACCATGATCATCGAGGATGAGGGTGAGGATGTTGCCGCGACTATTAAATTTAATAACATGGATGATCATATCAAACTTCCATACCAGAATCCGGCAACATTTGAAGAGTTTATTCAAATGAATCAACATATTCGACATCGAGCAACGCACGAGCAACTGAAGGAAGATATAATTGAATATTTGTGAGCGGTTAAATGGGACAACAATGTTGGAATTTAATAATTGAACTTTTTAAAATTTAAGCTGCGGCTGCATGCACCTATTTCAACGTCTCTACTCTATGTATGCGGCTATTTAAATGTGCAGACTTTAAAAATAATATAGAAATGCCAGATGTATGCAAGCAGTGTTGGATGGACGTCTTTCACATCCATGTCCGTGGACTAGTTTCTCACTGTCCGCGGACAGATCCGGAAGAAAATTTGCGGATCCATGTTAAAGATGCCCTCACCATTGGGAGTGGCCTGAACTATTTTCTTCTTCGTGGCAGTGTCTTGCTGGTGGTGTTTTCCGTGAATTTTTTGCCCCACTACTATACTGGTACTATGGGCCCTTCTGACCTAACCTTGTTCACAAGAAAATAAAATTTGCCCCAGGAGGCAACCTGGCACGAGGCCCAGATGTGTATGCGGTTCTTCCCTGCCGAAACCACGTGACGTACGTCCATGTCCATCCGTCTCGTCCGTCCCAAACGCACCGTGGCGGCCATGGCACCGTCCACGCGTCTGTCCAAAATTGCCGTCGTGCCTGAAGCCTGCAAAAAAGGTTCGGCATTGCCGCGGGCACACGCTTGTTTTTCGCATCCCGAAAGTAGTAGACGTGAGCGCGTGTCATGACCGAACTCCGCCCCTCGCTCTCCACCTCCCCCGCGTAGCGTGCCTCGGTGTCGATTGGTGACAGATGCCGAAGTTTCTTTGATGCTCTCGTGAAGTGTTGTTGGCTTTCAGAAGATGCCAATGTGTCATTTGCTACTCAAGCAAGCGTTGTCGATTGTCTTGACCTTCAGCCCGATTGATGATGCCATGAATATGACTTGTCTGTGTACAGATGTGTCGTGGTTTATAGATAGAAGTAGAACCCGTGCGTCGTGACTTGTACAGATACCGGCCGCCGAATTATAAAACAAAGTGCCCCATGTTCTCATATTCTTAAACGGTTTTCTTCTCTCATTTTATTTGTTTGAATTGCTGACTTCACATCCTACCCCGTCTTCGGCGTTTGTCAGTTGTCACCTCGAGTCCTCCTTGGGCCTTGTACGTGTGGGCTGCAGCGATAAGAGAAGCGATTGTAGCCTGGCGTGTGGTTGGTAAAACCGTTGTCGTTGATGAAGCGGCTATGGTGAAGGGCAAGTTGTTTGGCACCATGGTGGTGGTTGCGGTCGTGTGCTATTACAAATTTTTGAAATGCCCCTGAAATATTAATATCATTGTGATTTGCTATTTCTAAGTTAAGCGTCTTTGTTTGATGCTAGTCGGACTGATAATGGTGATCTCGCATATATCGATGTAAACTTATGATCCTCAATGCGACGGTTAGGGCCGAGACTCTCCATCTCGACAACGCTAGATGGAGGTCGGGACTCCCCCTCCTCCTCATTCTTCTCTGTGTGGGTGCAGCGGCTGCCAACGGACATATCCTTCTCTAGAGGGGCGCAACGCAGTCTGGTGGTCACAAGTGACAGCTCTAGTCGCATGCAATGAAGACAATTGAAAATGCGAGGTATTGTGTGTGTATGGTGAAGGGTGAGTGCATATAAGGTCATCATCGAGCTGCACTGATACGCCTTGAGGAAATGGCATAGTCGGTTTAGAAATAGAAAAATCCACTTTGTCTAGATTGTCGTGAGCGTATCGTTTCACGAAGCGGTTGCAAAACTATGGGAGGTGGTGCTTCACAATTGGTCTATAATCGTCCTTGATGCTCAGACTACAATGGCCTATCCACAAGGTGGGGAGTTCTTCCAAACAATATCATTAGAGAGGGGTCATAGATCACATAAGTAGGAAAATCATTAACCAAATTCTACTTTTCCGGGGATAATATTTTGCCTCCACCAACTTTTGTTGTGCACTTCAGCCTTATTTTTACTAGTTCAGGCGTCCATGTTGCTGGTGTGTTGTGGAGGAGTGGTGTTTCTTTCATTGCAAATCTTCCGAGTGACAAGTCTGTCGAGCGATGACATGACTTTTTCATTGTCGTGTCATGTTGTTGGTTGCTTTGATCTAATATTCTCGACCATAGGTTCCGCCATCCAATCGACGCTATCATGGTCAGTGAACTTAAACCATTATTTTATAATTCTCCAAAGGAGAAATGTATGTATGTAGCAAAGCATAATGTGCACGGTTGTTTCTTGCAATAAAGGGTGAATGACAAAATTGGGGTGCCCTAGTGGTTAAACGTCAAAGACTATTTTGAATGGTCAGACTAATTTTCATTTAGAGATGTTTAACATAAAAGTTAAAGTGGACCTCATAAACTAGGCTATATAGGTCAATGCTTCCAAGTATTGTCATGGGTCGGGGAAATTGCAATGAATGGTGTCCTAATTGTGCAACCGAACATGCCTTGGTTATGTTCACAAAGTTAAAAAAACATGAAAGTGAAAAAAAGTCCCAAGTTCAACTTAATCCAATTGATCCCAACATTCTTGCACATAGCCTCTTTGACATTACATCTCTTCTCTTTGATAGGTCGAAGCCATGCATCCAAGATGACGCCCTCACCATTTTCAACAACTACAAATATCCACTCATGGAAGAGCTATGTGCCCACCTCGAGGCAAGGGTCGCCCAAACCCACGTAGGTTTTGTGGGTGTCTATCCACTCAAAGCGTGATCAACAACTGTAAGACTCTCATAGATTTTTCTAAGTTGAGCACTCCGATTCCACCAAGGTTCGCAGCAGAACACACACACGCGCGTGCGCGCTTTTCACCCCTGTCGGTCCGATATTCGCCCTATCTACAGGACAACTCACCTTTTTATTATCAATGCTTTTATGACGTCTGATGGGGACAACGAGATGAGTAAGATGTTACATCATACACTGGATGGGAGGTAATGGTCAATTTAACTAGAACCATGTGTCTACCCGTTGTATATGTTTTTCCTTGCCAAGTAATACACTTAGTGACGATCTTGCCTTCAAGATGTTAAAAATCAACTCTCTCGAGTTGTCTGGTCGAAATTGGTATGCCTAATATCTCACTGGGAAGACAATGCACACCCAAAACACCAAATGATGTCAATTAAATCAATTTCGTCGCACCTAATGCCAATAACATACAAAATCTATTGGACAATACTAGTAAATTATTTGATGGTTGCTCGGCAAACCATCATGACTGTAATGGGTAAATATTCATGCTGCCTTTAGTAAGGGGTATGCCCACATTGGCGACTACAATACTCATCGATGAGCATTGGCAATTGGCACATGCTTTCCCTAAGTTTGGACACGTGACAATGTTTGATAATATTGTTCAGTTGTTGAACATGTTTTTCTTACATGCCTACTTGTATCTTGTAATCTGGATGATACCTTGCTGAGTTAGTTAAACGTCTTTGATTCTATTTTACTTTGTATTGTGATGTTTCAAACCTAAATGCCACATTTGACCTTCTGAATCCAAAGGTGTACTTTGAAACTCAAGATGGCAATCATTGGTATATGGATGTCACCACCTTAAAAATCTAGCACAAAATGAATACTCGTCGTCAAAGAAAAAAAGAACTCAATTTGAAGTTAGTTAATTTTCATGGTGCATTGCATCTCTTTTATCGGTTTACAAATTTATGGCAGTCTGTTTGTTTGTAGGGTTGGATTGTGGACATCGAGTTTCTACTTTGCGAATCACTACCACATGAATGCCATCCTCTTAAAAATCTGAACACAAAACGAAAATACTCATCATCAAAGAAAAAAAAGAACTCAATCTAAAACCAGATAATTTCCATGGTACGTTAAATCTTTTTAACGGCTCATCATGAATCGTGACAATCCGTTGTTTGTACTTTGTAGGGCTGGGCGGCGCACCGTGTGGCAGCCCCTGAACGAACGGTCGAAATCAAACCTTCCTCGACCACAATCCGACCCGGATCCAGCATCCAGCCGCGGAATGGGACGGGACCCACGCGGCGTTTAGAAAAATCCGGAGCCGTGGTCGCGTCGGGAACCCGCTCCTCGCTTCTCCTCTCGGGGCTCCGCTTCGCCTTCTCCGCAGCGCAGCCACTTCGGGATCGGGAAGCGGGAGGGGAAGAGAGAGGCAGGCAGGCAGGCGAGCCGCCGTACCCGGCCGCAGCTTCCCTCTCTCCGCCCCCGCCTACCCCTACCACCCTCCCCCCGCCGCGCACGATGAGCTCCCCCCCCGCCTCTGCCCCCGCCCCGCCGCCGCCGCCGCCGTCCTCGCCCCCCTCCGACGAGGGGCGGCCGAGGGAGGCGACGGAGGTGGACGACCGGGTGGCCTCCCACGTCGACCCGTTCCTCGTGGAGGCGCTCGACAACCCCCGCCACCGCCTCATGAGTACGTGCATCGCAACCTTATCTCTTTCCGCAATTCCCTGTCTCTGTCGTCGTCGTCGCGCCGCTAGGGTTCCGCCGTCCCGCCTTTAATTCGCGAGAGGATGCGTCGTTAGCGGCGGGCTCCTGTGGATGTGCGGTGCGATTTAGGATTGGATTCGTGCCTGGCGTCTAGGGCTTCGTTTCCTGGTGTATTGCATAGCCCCTGGTGTTGAATTGGGGACTCGATTCTTCTCATGCTTCAGCTAGCTCGGATATAGAGGATGTGGTTGATGTTCTGTAATTCGGGCGAAATTTAATCGAATTCTGCCAGTATGCCAATCTCCTAGGCTAGAAGAGTGGTGGCTTGCGCTTCCTTGTTGCTACATGCTACAATGCTGATTGTGCTGATGCTGTACTCTCCATGAGCTAGAGAACGATACTGATGCAGGCATTAGTTTTCTCTGGTTGATATTGGTCAAGTATATGTGACTGTTGCTGATAATAATGAGCAGATGCATGCTTATGTGATCCTAAACTTCTCTGGAGATGTCCCGTGCCTGCTACTCAATTGCTATTTATCCTTGGACATACTGTGTTTGCACTTTTCTCTACCTAAATGGTAATTAGAGTTGCATTAGATGTTTTATTCTCAATTCCGCAAGTGGCTGTTATTTCGGTTGTTATAGACTCATGGTTTGGACCAGTATTCCTGTGTCTTGATAAACCAGCTGTATCCCGTTAGGTGCACTGACAATGATGAGATAGCCATTATTGCTCAAGTCGCTGCTGTAATTAGGAAAAGGCTCCAGGGAGGGGGGCGGTGAATAGTGATCTTAATCTGAAATTCTCAACATCTCATCAATGAGGTCACGGGGATGAGCTTCTTTCACTTGCAGGCTGCAGCTGAGCTCTCTTTCAACTGCCGCTGTTTCACAACTATACGTGCCTCATTTCCTTTCTTTTCATTTATGTGGATTGTAGATTAAAACAAAACCTAATATGCAATTTAGGTCCAATCCAGCTCTCTTTATGTCTAACACCTTCCGCCTTTGGTTCCACTTCCTGTCGAACTCGTCCTTTGCTGTGAGGGTTGCGCACCTTGGTGCCAACAAGCTTTAGCAGAAATCTGCTGTCCTGGATGGAATTCTCTCCTGGATGCCTCACCTATGGCTCTGTACATGCACAGCTTGGGGTGGTGTCTAAATTAGCATCTCTGTCAATGCTTTATACATTAACATCAAACAAAAAAAGTCTGTTAGTGCTATAGTATCATCTCTCTGTGCACCAGGTATAGAAATCTACCTGAATTTGAGTATGCGACTCGTTTTAAGTTTGTTTTCCGATTCGTTCAGTTCTCTTACATTCTCTAATGGTATTTGCAACAACGAAATGGATTAACTCACTGCATGAATTCTCACACGAGAAATATCTTAACATAGGTGCTGTAACCAGTGTAAATAATTGATTTACAGTTTACTGTATTTTTATGTGTTCAGTTATTCGTGCTTTTTTGTATATTTATTTATGTCATTGTCTAACTCTTCTTTAACCTTCAATTACCATATAATCATTTTTGTTCTCTACAACAGTTTTGCGGATGGAATTGGATATACAGAAATTTATGCAGAATCATCACCTGCATGAATTTGAATTCCAGCATTTTCCAACTTCTTACCTCCGCTGTGCTGCTCATCGTGTTGCACAACATTATGGTTTAGAGACTACAGTAGCTGATAGCCTAGTAGATGGTTCTAATAGCAGGATAGTTGCAAGAAAAACACCTGAAAGCAAATATCCAGCTATTGCTTTATCAGAAGTTCCCGTTAAACAAGCAAGAAATGATATTGAGGCAGCAGAAAAGCTTAAGTTTGTCATTTGTCAAAGGCCCAAAGCTTCCCAAAATGGTGCATATGGTGCTGGAACCAATAATGGTGCGGCGAAAACTGTTGAAGAGAGGATAGATGATTACAATAAGGCACGAGCACGCATTTTCAATGGTTCCATTCCTGCAGATGTTGTAGGCCCAAGTGATTTTGGAGCTTTGTCCATTGCCAGAAACGAACCGGTGAATGTTGAGCCTTCTGTTGATGAGAACAAGGGCTGCACGTTCAATAGCCGTTCCAGGGTTGCTGTTTTTAAGGACACTGAAAAAGACCGTAGTGATCCAGACTACGATCGTAACTACAAAAGGTTAGCATGTGACCTATTAAATTTTGCTGCCACCATGGGGTCTTAATGTTGAGATTACAAACCATAAATATTTTCACCTCTGCAGGTATCTTAGGCCCCCTGTGCCTGACTATGGTGTGAGCCCAGGCGCCTTCAATTTTGCCGTGCCTCAGTTTGTGCAGTATGGTGTTGGTTATATGCAGTCTCCTAGCATGCCGAGAAACCAACCTTCTGTGTACTTTGGTCAACCTGATTTATCGATGGGATCTTCTGGAACTGCTGTCTATCCACAGTGGCCTACCCCAGCAATGATGTACCCCCATTGCTATGACAACCTTGGCCATGTGATTTCTCAGGTAAGCCTGTTATATGATTCTGCTGAGCTTGCATATCATTTGTTTCAGTATTCAAGGATAATATCAAGGTTAAATTGTCTAAGTACGTGTTCTAATCATGGAAGGTAGCGAATATTGTTATGTTTTCTAAAAAGTAGTAACCAATATATCACATGCTGTTAGCCCTTTACAGAACTTGGCTTAATCTGTATGGTAGCAGTTTGTTATCCTAATTGCATCCAAGCTGGGTGGCAATCCCTCCGTATCAAAATATAAGACGTTTTTGTAGGCTAGTTTAGACTACAAAAACGTCTATATTTTGGTACATAGCTAGTAAAAGTGAGTCCTTCCTCGTCATGCCCAAGATAGTACTGGTAGTGGCAGTTGTAGTTATGAGTCATGACCCCGTCGTGAACAAGGGTAGCTTGATATAGCTTTGCCTTGACGCTTGAAAGGTTCTCAAGCAATCTGTTAAGAAATAAGAATGTTGTTTGTTGGTATCTTGTTTGCTGCTGGATCCAACCTTTCTCTCTTTTGTTCCCTCACAATAATATGCTCTATTCTACTCCCTCTGTAAACTACTCCCTCCGTCCCAAAATTCTCGTCTTCGATTTGTCTAGATACGGATGTATCTAATACTAAAACGTGACTTGATACATCCGTATTTAAACAAATCTAAGACAAGAATTTTGGGACGGAGGGAGTAATATAAGAGCGTTTAGATCACTGAAGTAGTGATTTAAACGCTCTTATATTAGTTTACGGAGGGAGTATATAATGTTTGATTTCGGTATATTGCTTGCCACAACAGTTACTCACGTGATGGTCCTTTGGTTGTTTGGTTGGTTGAATTCGAAACGTATCTGCCAAACAGCAATGCTGGTCTCATTTACTGCGTGAAATGTTTGTTGGTTCTCTAACAAACAAACACTCCAACTTTATTTTCATGTCATGTTCTCAATGTTGCAGGTTCCGGTGTACCAGTCCTTCAACCATGGCTAGGAGATGCTACTTCCTGGGATGTTGGAACAGAATTTGTTAAAACCTGCTATGTCGTGTTGTCATGTTAAGTGCGTCTATCTATTTTGGAGTCAGTTTTTCCCATCATCGAACTTCTGGATAGTGTCAGCTAGGTGTATAAGAATTCTTATTGTTATTGTGCACTAATCTACAAACAGGGGCGCTCGTCTTTTGCTCGTTTACTTATGTATTTGGCCAAGCACTCTTACTCTATTCGACATTCATGAAACATCACTCCCTGCCTTGCACTGGTCCCTGAGGGCGCGTACAACAATCCACCGTGAGCTGTCCATAGTTGGTGCCAGTGGTGGACCTAGTATCTTAGCATTTGGGGTGCCACAATGTGCATACATAGGCAACACAACTTCAGTGCACCTGTCCAAAATTGGTGAATTTTACACTACAAACAGTATAATTTTGTTGAAACACGATCATAATTCCCACTGGAACCTCCAAAAATAGGATCAAGTAATCAATTTACTAGGATTTGTGATGAGCTGGAGAGAGAACAAAGAGAGAGTAGCCTGCTGGTAGCTTCTTAAGTCTGTTCTTTTGTTAGTCGCTCAGCGGTCGGCGGTTCTTTAACTGACTTGTAGGTTCGAGTCGTACACATGACAACAAACTCCAAACTCTTGGCCAGAATCTGTAATATGCTGCCTGCTCTTCAAAAGCAAACTTAGCTTGGAGAAGGACACAGTTACAATTGTCCAAAAGCAAACTTACAACATCTACGGTCGGACGTCTCAAACCGGTCTCAAATGTCTGGACTGACTAGCACCCCTCATATCCGGCCCCATTCCGGAACAGATATGAGGCGGCCCGGGGCGCGTCCGTAACGTCGGACTGATGCTCGGGTCTCATACGAAGTCGGACTGATGCTCGGTCTCATACGAAATCGCTCGGAAACCCAATGACCCGATGAGGGTCTGGGCTATTTAAGCCGGACATTGACCCCCAACACTAGGCACATCCACTTCTCTCGCTCTCCGCGCTGCCAACCCGATCCGCTCTCTGCCTTCCTCTCTGCTTGATCTTTGCGATAGCCATGGCCCGACAGAGGGTCACCACCTACGCTAGGGGGGGGGGCGCCTTTGACCAAATGATGAAGGAAAAAATGACGAGGGCTCAGGTTTTCTTTATAAACGTACTAGGAAAGCATTTTAACCACGCCCGGCGTTTCAGTTTGATGGCAAGGACGAAAACCACGTAGTAGCAAGGGAGTTGTAGTAGTCCACCGACAAAGTAGCTGTATAATACGTTCAGTGGCTCATTTCCAATTGGAAAAAAGGAACATCCCATTGTTCAAACAGAACTGAATTTCAACTCAAATTTAGGACTTCCCTAAAAAAGGACCAAATATAGGAGCTTACCACAAAGGCGCTTTGTGAGAAAACAAATCAAGGTGCGGGTACAACTACCTGCCAAAATTCACCTCATCGAGTGAGTGACATAATTCTTTGAAAGTATCTAAAGAATGGACCTTGCTAGGAAGCAAGTGCTTGCCTTTAGGTGTATCCAGCGGCCTCCTATTTTAGGTATGTGACACCCTTTGCGATTCGGTTGGATAATGAAGGTATTACTACCATTTCCTCAAGGTCGCGATAACGGAGCAGTACCCCCGGGCCATGGAGGGGCGGATCTGGAGGGGGAGCAACGACAGTCGAAGGCGGAGTAGTACCCCCAACCCATGAAGGGGCGGATCTGGAGGAGGAACCGGTGGAGCAGGAGTGGGAGGCGGAGCCGGCTGCGGGCTTTGCCATTGAGGACACCATGACAGAGTTCGAGATCACCCAAGCGGAGGAGGTGGCGGAGCAGACCGCCATCCTAGAGTCCATCCAGCAGAGGCCTCGGTGGAGGTCAACCAGCGCTTCCTCCGGCAGCAGATGGTGGAGATCGACGAAATCTTCGCCTCTAGTGAGTCCCACGACGAGCCGAAGTTGCCGCAGGCGGCCATCTACCCGAAGCCCGACACGGAGGTCGTGGACATCTCGATGATGAGTAGCCTAGGGTAGATAGGATATATACATAGTACATTGGTTTTTATTTTGCATGGTTTGTATGGATTTGAGATATATACTATGAGGTATTTGGATGGAGCACACGAATTCTGAGAGGTGACCGGCAACTGTTCGCAAACGCTCCCAACCTATGACCAAATGTTGAAGGAAAAAAATGAGGAGGGCACTGCCCCCATCCTTTGACCAAATGGTGAAGGAAAAAACGAGGAGGGCTCGGGTTAAAAAGAATATCACACAATAGATATTCTTTATAAACGTACCGGGAAATCATTTTAACCACGCCTAGCGTTTTAGTTTTATGGAAAGGACAAAAACTAGGTAGTAGCAAGGGAGCTGTATTATACCTGCCAGCAAATGCCTGCAAAATATGTTCAGTGGCTCATTTTCAATTGAAAAAAAGGAACATCCCATTGTTCAAACAGAACTGAATTTCAACTCAAATTTAGGACTTCCCTTAAAAAGGACCAAATGTAGGAGCTTACCACAAAGGCGCTTTGTGAGAAAACAAGTCAAGGAGCGGATACAACTACCTGCCAAAATTCACCTCATCAAGTCAGTGACATAGTTCTTTGAAAGTATCTAAACAATGGACCTTGCTAGGAAGCAAGTGCTTGCCCTTTAGGTGTATCCAGCGGCCTCCTATTTTAGTATGTGGTGCCCTTTGCGACTCGGTTGGATAACGAGGGTATTACTACCATTTCCTCAAGGTCGCGATAGCGGAGCAGTACCCCCATGCCATGGAGGGGCGGATCCGTAGGGGGCGCAACGGCAGTCGGAGGCGGAGTAGTACCCCCAGCCCATGAAGGGGTGGATCTGGAGGAGGAGGAACCGGTGGAGCCGGAGTGGGAGGCGGAGCCGGCTGCGCGCTATGCCATTGAGGACACCATGACAGAGATCAAGGTTTCCCAAGCCGAGGAGACGACGGAGTGGACCGCCATCTTGGAGTCCATCCAACATAGGCCTCGGTGGAGGTCAACCGACGCTTCCTCCGGCAATAGAGGGTGAAGGTCGATGAAATCTTCGCCTCTAATGAATCCCATGACGAGCCGAAGTTGCCGCAGGCGGCCATCTACCCGAAGCCCGACGCAGAGATCGTGGACATTGGTTTATTGTCAAATGCCTCCACACCATGGCCGGAGTTTACAACATCGTCAGGCATCACATCTTCCTCCTATGGCACCAGTTCATCACAACCCCATTGCAAGATCCAGTTATGCAGAATGCAACAAGCAAGCACAAGCTTAACCTGGGCGGGGAAAGTGTGGAATGGGTTCTGATTTAGGATCTTAATCCTACTCTTCAGAGCTCCAAATGCCCTCTCAACAGTAACTCTAAGACTGGAGTGTCTGAGATTAAACAACTCCTGTGGAGTCCTAGGATAGTTCCGACCAGCGAACTCATTCAGATGGTACCTGGTTTTCCTGAAGGGTGGAAGAACACCTGGCCGACATGCATAGCCAGCATGTCCTTGGTAGAACTTGCCATTGAGGATGTTGATGCCATCAAGAAGACTCATGCTGTCATTGAGAATGTTAGCATCATGTGCTGATCCTTCCCAACCAGCCATCACATATGTGCACTTCAGATCAAAGTCAACAGCAATAAGCACATTCTACCTTGTGTAGTGCTTTCTACCCTATATGTTGCAGACTGACCATGATAGTCTGGCAGTGACATGAATACCATCTATTGCCCCAATGCAATTCTGAAATGGCATTACAAGATTATGTTATGGCTATAGCCGAAGAATACAAGCATATCAAGGCATGAAGTACATACTGCCAGTGCTCACCTTGAAGTATGGATACCATATTGGGCTAGTGCGAATCTTGGTAGGAGTCCGGCTGGTTGGTGACACGATCATTTCTCATCTGAGTTCCCCAACAACATACAACACTTGGCTGAAGTACCTGGAGATGGTCTCCATTGACCTCCTAAAGGTGTTGTGCATTCCCTGAACCTCTAATTATGACCAACAACATGGAGGAGCATGGCTACTTGCTCTTCCACACAGGTGTGGATGCTATCTTGTAGCAGCCCCTGCTCCTGAAGGCCCGCACAAGCCGTGTAAATGGTGATCTTTTCATTCGAAGCATCCACAGAGCCTATGTGTCGTTGCAGTTGTAGATGTAGTTCAGATTCACCATCCTCTCCCGATCCCGGATAAACATTGGACCGTAATTGATGACAGGCCTCCCACCACGACGAACAACTCTCTTGTGCATCAATATGAGCCATGCCTGAATCACAGCTATCAGTGACGCATCCTAAATTACGACTTTCATTCGTGCGTTCATAACCTAGCCGACATCAAGGGTGCACTGAGCAATGGGGAAATCAAGCCTACAACTTGCCTAACGGCCTAACAACCTACCTAACATAGGTGGGGGGAGGGGTGTTACTTTCCGGTGAAGGGAAGGGGCATGGCTGAGTCGAGGACAACCAGGCGGTGGCCAAGAGGAAGGAGAGCAGTTGCTCCTACTGCCGGAAAGTGTTGTTGTTGCGTCCGCCACTTGCGCATATCTGAATCGCCGCCACCGCCGGTGCTAACAATAGAGGAAGTGCTTGTCCTAGGGCTAGTGGTGACTAGTAACCGAGTAAAGGAGGGAAGGGGGTGAGGCTAGATTTGGCGCCATCTCGCCGCGCCCGATTTCTATCTCCCGCCATCCCCAGTCAATTTCGCCTTGCTCCCTCGCGTGTGAGCTGCATCCCTTTAGTGCCGAACCCAGGCTGGCTCGCGGGAAACTGCTGATTTGAGGGTAGCCAGCCAGTCTCTAGGTTTTTTTAAGGTTCGTGCCGAGCCAGCCCACCTCGTATGCAACAAAATGCGTTTTTCTTGGCCCAACTCAGCCTGATTGAGGTGTATGCGGGCTGCTGTGTCCGTTGGAATTGCCGTCGGCGCGGCGGTGCCGCAATCATGGAGGACGTATCACATGGCATCGGATCAAGCTGCATTTGTGAGACGCCACGGACGCGACGAGGTTTGACATAGGGCGCATGCTTA